AAAAAAAAAAAACGAAAAATTATTCTTTTCATATTTTATCTGAATGTGTGTTTGTGTCTTTTTTTTTCATCTATATAAATCAAATAAATCGACTATTTAGGGTATTTGAAGAAGTTGTATCTGTATGTAACAAATATACAGATTTTGTACCATTAACATTTATGCTTGGATACTATGTAACGTTGGTGGTCAGTCGTTGGTGGCATGTTATACAGAATATTGGATTTACTGATAAGTAAACCTTAATTTCACGCTTCTATACTATTAGTTTTTTTTTTCCACTAACAAATTACAAACTTAATCTGATTACAGTTTTTTTTTTTTTATTACTACGCTCTTTGATACTCGTCATTTTATAGTTTAATAAAAAAAAAAAGAAGGAAAAACATAACAACTATATACTTCTGTTGTAACATAAATTTAGAAATGAAAAATAGTATCTGCAAAGTATTTTTATAAATTTATTAAGGTTAAGTAAATTTTTTATATTATAATTTTATGCTACTACAATCAGTCAATGTTATACAATACAGATGGTTTATCTACCAAATTCTTAAATAATCTTAAAAATGCCCAGGTTCTGCTTTAATCAACAAAAAGTATGAAATAATAAATTGATGACAAAAGAACAGTATTACCTTATAATTGTCAATGGTGAAGTGCAAACATTTAGTCTTTTGCTGACTAAGATCAGTTGTCAAAGTATTAAATTTCAGCATTGCATTACTGGTTGCAAATTACATCCAAGGAAAAGATGAGCGTTCGATTAAGTACAAAAAAACTATTGTTCGATATATCTGCCTTCTTCAAACTATGGTTTATCGAACAATAAGTGTTCCGGTGAGAACAAGATATCCAACACTGGAAAGTTTGGTTGATGCGGGTAAGCAACAGTTTTTCAGTTTATTCCAACTATCAAAAAAAAAAAATTATATAAGTAAATGCAGAAATTGACTTGGTAACTTTTGAAGGCTATTTGGAACCAAATGAAGTGGAAATAATAAGCGAAGATAACATGTGGCTACCATATCACTGGGCTTTAGGCTTGATAAACTTGGCCAGGGATGAGGGAGTTATCAAATCTGATCATGCTGTTCAACAGATTTTTAAAGTTGTTTTTTTCTTCAAAAGCTTTAACTAACTTTGAATGCTTTTTTGAAATACAGTATCAGTTTTCAAAATACAAAAAAAGCTGAATAAAATTTAAAAAATTTTTTTGTTGTTTCTCAGACAACTGTTTGTTGCCAAAAAAAAAAAATGATAAGTTTTCTCTTTTTTTTTCCAACAGGCTTGTATGGACTTCAGAAGTTCACAGATATCTTTATGGATCTACAACTGGATTCCTGTACCGCTTGTTTACACTCAGGTTTCTGTTCTGAAAATGTTTTGGGTTATTAAACTGTAACAAAGAATAACAGAAAAATAAGAGTTTACAAAAAAAAAATACTGCTAAAAAACTTCTTCTTTTTTTTTTTGTTGCTTAATCAAACATACTTTTCGCCTTAATTTTTATTTTTCTTTTTTTAATTGCTTAAAATAAACTATAATTCTTTTTAGGTGGTATTTATAACAGTACGTTTGTATTTTATTCTTGCAATTCTCGGTCGTCAATTTACAGATAAAGATAATTTTCCAGTTAGTTTCTGGTTCTTTAATAAAATTTTTCTAAAGATTTATGTTGAAAAAAATGTAACTTTTTATAAATTGCGTTTAACCAATTTTATTTAATTTCTCTCTGCTGTATATTTATTTATATTTAATTATTGTAGATTGATATATATGTCCCAGTTTTAACTATTCTTCAACTAGTTTTTTATGTCGGATGGCTAAAAGTAAGTAGCATTTTTTGATCGAAATTTTATACTGAATTTAATTCAGTTCTTTGATATTTATAATTCCTTTTACTGTTTCTCAAATCTTTTATTGTCGACATAACACTACAAATAGTTTTCTTTATCCTTATAATTTCAACGTTTACTTCTCGTTAAGTACAAATCAGCTTAACTGACCTGTAAAACAGATGATATCTGTCAGCAGTTTGAGTGCAAAAATTGAATTTTTTTTTTTTTTGAAAGCAAAAGTATCACTGGTCAACTGAAAAGTACAAAATCTATATTTTTAACTTTGGAGAAGAAATGACTAAGAAAAGTGAAGTTATTAAGAAAAAAGAATAAAGAAAAATTACTCATAGAATTCAAAGAAATATGATCATTTTAATAAGCGGCACTGTTGAGACTTTCAAACTCAGGTAGCCGAATCGCTACTGGATCCATTCGGTGACGATGACGATGACTTTGATGCTGACTGGTTTCTTAAAAGGAATCAACGGGTATGCTCAAATCAAGCTTTTCACTTTACTGACCATTACACAGATATGGTACTAATAATAGCTTAAAAAATAAATGAATAAACAAAAAAAAAAAAAAGCATTTTATTTACCCAGAAAAAGTCAGTTTTCTGTTTTGTAAAAAAAATTTTTTTTCAAGAATGCGGTGGCAATAGTAAATGAAAGTATTTTGGAACATCCACAATGTGTCTTCAACAAACTTTGGGACGAAGATTTTAGGAAAGGAACCGGCTTTACCAGTGTTTTGTAAGTAACTCTCAGTCATTTACTAACTTTTTTCATACGTTGCAAAAACTGATTGAAAGGAAAGGTAAAGATGAAAAAAAAGGAAGAATTGTTGGTACTGTGTAATCCAAAATTACAGTAAGGTTTTAGTTAAAGGCTTATATTGTTGTCAACGGTTCAGTGCTGTGGCGCACAGATCGAAAAGTTAGAATTAGTTATCAACACTGTACCATAACTATTAAGCAAAACGTTATATTTTAACTAGTTTATTCTTTTCTCTTGCAGTATTGGAAGAGCTCTTGCGAATATTCCATTGTTTCGTGGAGCATTACCGAAATTCTCAAACCGATTTGAATTTTAAATATTACTCTGGCGATGAACGACAACATTCCAGCAGCCACATTGAACCAAAGAACAAAGACCATTTCTCAGAAGGCTATTTTTTTAGTGATCCAATTCAGCGACAACACAAATGTTATAACTTTACACTCAAAACTTTTATTCTGCAAACAACCAATATAGTTCAATAGGATCTAAAAGCACAAAGAAAACCAGCAAAAACAACGAGAACTTTACTCTTTTTATAAAAAATAGTAGCAATATTTTAAATTGAGATAAATTAAGTCGTCTGAAAATTTTATTCAAACAACTCTCATATATCATTTATCATATAGATAAGCATACTTTGAATAGAGTGGATGATTTATCAATAAAAGAATACTCGAATTTGTTGTATTCTTTAAATATGTCTGCCGAAAAAAAAAATTATATTTGCATTGAAATATGCAGTAATTTTTTTTTTAATTTTAACTGTTCAGATGCAAATACATCTTATTGACAGAAATCGTTTTCTTCTTTGATTCTTGATACATTTTTTCTTGTTTATTTTCACATAGATCAAATAAGGAGAATAACTGCATTATATTTATATCATTTTTTATAAATATATCAGAAAAAAACAGTTATTATTTTACTGTGGTTTGCTATCTGTACTTTGTTTGTTCTTTCTTTTTTTTTTTTCTATCCTATTTTTG